CAAATGTTTCCACAGTAAATTAGGGAATATGTGAATTATTACAAAGCTATAACATATGTTGGTCAAAGCTGACTGCGTTTCCAGTTTTCCAAAACAATTACATCTATAGAAACAGGGGAACATCTATAGAAAAGCAGGGGAAAGACTTCGTTTCACAATCCCAGCTAGGCAATGTTAGAGTGGAGCAGGTAGCCTATGGACAAATAAGTACCTATACGTCTCTTATAATCTATGCTCAGCAATGGCAACCCAACAAGTAAATGGTCACTGACTGATTCTGTGTCATTTGTAACAGGATTACTGAAGGATCTAGTGGTTATCAGACATGTTTGCTCAAGCAGACTGAATCAAAGTTCAGCACTGGGTCAAGTCAATGCTGAGTACAACAGCCCTGCTGACTGTAAAGTGGCACTATTTCATATAGTCTACATACTGTACATACTATACACTGGTGTCCAGTCAACAATAAACAGTAAGCTAAGCACAGTTCTGTGTGATCTGTGGTAATTGGGGACATGACTCTCTGGCCTCTCTGGTCCATTCTTAACCCCTGGCAAATAAAACTGCCACACCAATGGATCTAATTTAATGACAGATTTATAAAATGTAACGGAATGATGCTGCTATGCTAACCATGCATAATGTGCAGTGTGGACATGCAAACAGAATGGGAGAGAGTTAAAGCCCCTAGGTCAATTCATGAGGGTGTGTAAACACTGAATGAACCAATGCACTCACTGCTTTTGTTAATGTCACGACTGCAGTGGCCAAAGGACAAAAGGTATTTATTAAAAAGAAACTTTGAATAGCCATTTATTATAGTCTATAATCATACTGTGCTGTGTGCAGCAGTATCCAACAGTTCTCCAACCCGAGCAGTGTGAGAACATAGGTTTTATAGTTTGAGCTTGGCCTCTTTGGCCTCCATAGCGCTGGTGGCGACCTGAGCTCGCTCTGACAGCAATGCTGCTTGCTCAGCTGGTCCCTGGGACTGGGCATTCTTCAGTACAAAGTGGCTGATGAAAAGCTTCAAACCCTCCCGCAGCATTCCTAACTTGGAGATTCCAGAGATCCTGAAGGTGAAGAAACAATGGAGGACATTGATTTCTAATGCACACATGTTACATAGTAAAGTGAAGCCATTTTACAAGCAAAGTACCAAAGGTTAATATCATCTGCATGCAATAGTGTTAATTGCCAACAGCAGTTTGTTTTATCTGAATGTCCCATGATTCTTACATCCTGTTACTTACTTTCCAAATATACTTGTCAAGTCCTCAGGCTCAGTCTCCTTCAGAAGCTTGATCAGCATTTGACGCAGGAAACGCACCTTGGGTTTGTCCAGTTCTCCAAATTCAATTACCTATACAAGTAAAAATATAATGATTGTTGATTGTATTTGAAAATCTATACAACGATAACAACAATCAGTTCATACAGGGCCAATAAATGTTACTTACTTTGAGTACAGACAGAGGTAAACACTTTCTCTGCAGAAAGCAGGTAATGAGCTGTACAAGATTGTTGAATGTGCTGTTAGACAGGTTATTTAGCTCCTTAAATTTATCCCATATGCTGAACTGGAATGTCATCTGTAATGAGATAAAAATCGTGAAGAGAGAAATGATAAAAAAAAAAAAAAAAAATATATATATATACACAGTCAGCAGCCACATCATCTTATCAGCCCATCTACTCACTCAGATCAAGTCTACATGAGAAAAGCATACATTCCCACCAGCTCTGCTTTGAGCTCTTTGATGAAGACAATGCTCATCAGTTTCGAATATGAGCTGGGGGGTTTACATGTAGGCAGAGTAGGAAATGTGCTCTGGCCTCAATTGTTTGAGCTCACAGGTTAAATCAAATAATATGACAGGAGAGAGGTGTGAAAGGCTCCCACACTGTTGCCCATTCACAGGTCACATAGCAGGACAGTGGGTGGTCCACAAATCTACAAGTACTTTAATCCCCATCATTTTCTTATCAGTACTTTATACAATAGGTATACTGATTATTATTTAATTAATGCACAAAGAAGGAAACTTTCTCAAAAAACAGGAAACATTTTTATAATCTACTCCCCCTTTAAAAAAAAGAGACAATGCACCTCAAGGGGCAAACCAAAATACATAAATAAATATACTTGGTTATTGATTATGATTATTTCAATCTTAAAAGTAATTGATCATATATTATTCTGATTCTAAATGTATATTCTTCAATATAAATTTAAATTCAGATTGTATTTTAGTATTTTTTTTGCTTGTCAGTACCTGAAAGCGACGATCATGGGCACAGAATTTCTCTCCCAGCACTGCATAGAAAGCATTGAATGTTTTCTCTTGCAGACAGCAGTCCATGAGCACATGAACAATCTCCCTCTCCTGTTTATCCTTCAGCCCCATCCTTAACAAAGAACACAAATACAAGCTTAACATAGGCTTGACTTAACACAGAGTCTGGTGTAAACAAAAAACAGAGAGTGTAGACAAACCTCATGAGTTTCTCAAAGGCATCCAAGTAGTCTTCACTGGTCATCAACACACAAAAAATATTTCTCCTGACCTCAGTATTCATCCGCTGATTCCTGGCCAGCTCCAAAACTTTGGCACTAAACTGAAAATAATAATAGCAATAAAAGCAACCAAAAATAGTACTACAACAGATAATGAAATAATAATAATATTTGCTATTAATTTTAATTGTTCTTAATCTTACTTGACCAACAAATGGGGTCTCTTTCATAGTTGCAATCCCATCATTGGAGATCATTGGAGCTCCACTCCAAGAGGAGCCCACGATCCACCAGCGGCCGACCTGCTCTGCTCTGAGGAGACAGGCCAGGGACACACGCAGCTTCATATCACTGCCACTTGCACTTCGACTAATCTACAAACCAAATGTCAATGTTAGATTAATAATCACAAATAATCTAATAATAAACAACAAAGGAACAGGGTAAGACTAAGAAGGGTAAAGACTGTAAGTGGTTCTCTGGTGGCCCCTAGTGGTGAATAGGTGTACACATATACTTCATAGTAATAACTGCAAATGTCTTAGAAAATGCATTTAAATGTATTATTGTGTGTATCTGTGTAGAAGGGATTGTTTGCCAATAACTTACCAGGGTCCTTTGCAACTTCCTGAGCCTCTCCACAGGCTCAGGATCATAGCCAGGGATTTTTCTCATGTCATTGTTTTTCAAAGCCAACATGGTTTCCAACATGAAACGCACCTAGACAAATGTGTTATGTATATCACTACAAATCTTTTGGATATATTATAACTGTATTTATCTAGGCTTTTCTTAGTAAACACTTACCCTGGTCTGATCCTTAAACTTTGTCCCCACATCAGTAGCCTTACGTTGGGCCTCAGAAATAAGATCCTTCAGAGCAAGAGCATCATCTTTTCTCAGTGCAAAGCCAACATTTCTCAAAACAAACAAGACAAGCTCAATGTCTTTCTCAGTGAAGGCATGGACTAAGAGTTTCAGGATGTCAAATATCAGGAGGGAGTGCACCACCTGAAAGTTATACAGGTGAGCAATAATGGCAATCAGGTTGTCACACTCCTTTCCCTCACAAGGACTTTTATAAATGCCATCGAACATTCTGACAACAGTCTCAAGGAAATGTGCTCCAACCTAAAAAAATAAATAAATAAAAAATAAAATATATTAATTAAAACAGCATAACTATCGGTTACTATCTATCTATCTATCTATCTATTTATCATGGTCCTCTGCATAGAAAAAATATAAGGTTCAGTTTTCTTACCTCCAGGCCAACAGCATGATGTAGGACGCTGACAAGCAGGACATGCTCCATCAGAAACCGATCAGGCATAACGGAAGGTGTGACACACGCTGCTAGTAACACTTCAGTTAGTGTATCATTCATATCTTTTCTGCTGCAACTCATGTACATCTCCTCCAGCTGACCACTGATGGATGCAATATTTGGCTCACTCAACCTAAATAAATAGTAAAAGTAAATAGTAATAATAATAGTACTAAATACTAAAGTTACACTGAATTTTATCATAACAACTATTTAAAGGTGCACTGAGTAACTTTTCTTGGAGAGGGTACGAAACATGCTAGTCTCCATGAGGATGTAACTGTTCAGTCTGGAATGTTTCACAGTAAGGCATTAAACTTATCTATCTCCATGGAGACCAGCAGGTCATGGTACACACCAGTTTGGTGGAGAGGCTAGCTCGCCCTCATAAGAATGCATGTTCTTAAAGGTATTTCTGAATAATAAAATCACCTGTAATGAAACAAAGCCTGAATAGAAGTTTAATGCCATACTGTGGAACATACTAAGAAAAGCAATAACATTTCCCAAAAGTAAAAAATGTGGTGTCCCCTCCACCAGAAAAGTTACATAATGCACCTTTAAGTGTGTAAAAATACTACTTATAAAAAATAAATTAAGCTCAGGGGGTACCAACCTGTTTACTAGTCCTTTTATATTCCTCTTCAGTTTTTCCAGTTCGGCCTTACGTTTACCATCCCCCATGTTTCGAAGATGAGGTGGTATATATTTGCTTGTTGAAGGTGTCTAGGTGTTCATATGAAAAAGTTGGATTAGATTCAAACAAATGCAGCATATGCTAAAACAATTTATGGGATTAGCACCTCTGTGTTTTCCTCCATCATCTCAAAACCAGTAGTCTCCACCTCATCTTCTGCACCAAAAGCCATTAACTCATCTCTCTCCTCTCCATCAGTCTCTTCCTGGTCACCCTCGGATTCCTCACCACCCATGTCCTCATCCAGGCTTTCATCAAGACTGTCATTTTCATCATTAAAAGACCCTGGATCCTCTTCTTCATTGCTATTTATTTGCTGTTCATCATCAGACCCTTCATTGTCCTCCTCCTCTAGTTTTGAGAAGTTGTCCTTAGCCATATCCATGTCATCTTCGCTGTTGTACATTGCAGCACCAGAAGAGCCAGAGTCAAGCACACCCAGAATATAATCTAGTCCATCCGCCACAAAGGACTGGGGAAGAGATTTCTTATTTTTCCTCTTGTTTAGTCCAAGTGAACGCTCAAGCTTTTTAATTTCCCGGTCCTCTTGTTCGTTGGCTTCCAAGAGCGCCTGTTTTCTAGTCTCCTGGAGTTTAGTTGTCTTCTTGGCTTTCTTTGTGGATGATGATTTGGAACTTTCTAGTTTGTTGACAGAAACCTTGCTTGAAGTTGTGTCAGATAAATCTCTGTTTACCTTGTTACTTTTCTTTTTCTTTGGAATATTTTTTTTATGAACCGGATTTTGACCAACAACTTGGGGGGGTGTCAAATCTTTTTTGCCTTCGTAATGACTTTTCATTTTAGCCTTTTTTAGTTTCCGCTTTTCTTTGCGTAACTCCTTCCTACTTTTCTTTTTTACATACTTAAAATCGTTGCTGTGGTCTACACTCTCCGGCGAACTTTTGCTTTTAACAAACTCCTCCAAGGAAACTTTGTACTTCTGTAACACTGCGTTACCCTTTTTCTTTTTAGTAGTTTGCTTCCATTTACCTTTCATTTTACTCTTATATTATTACGCCGAACACTTCATTTAAATTATAAATATGTAACAAGTTGTGAATAAAAGATCCAAATACCCGTTTAAAGGTAAAAAAAATAAAATAAACTCCACATGTCTTCCCATGCGACGACTGTTGTTTTGCCCACAGACACGTGACCATCCAGTTCCGGGTTAGGTCGACGCGTAGTAATGACGTTCTTTATTTTGGGGCGTATTTTGGCACGGAGCGGGTTTGCCTTGATGTAAAACAGTCGGGTTTGCGCTGAAGAAGGAAGAGAATGCACTTGATCATCCAGATCCAACAACTTAACATGTAGTGCCTCTTCGGATCTTTGTAGGTGCAATATGAAGCATGGAAGAAGACGATGTTACCATCAGAGAGCAGAATTTCCACAGCCAAGTTCGCGAGTACATTGTAAGTAACAGACGGAATGGCTTATGCTAGCATGCTAACCGCGTCCTCTAATAATGCATTGACACAGCGCCAAACGCTCTTTTAGTACTAGCTAGAATCAAATAATTTGGATTCATCACAGTTTCTGCCCTGATACTATTCGGTGTCGCATATTGTTGATTTTTGGCCCCACACATAAACAACATATACCCTAATATAATAATCAACTTGCGGTAAGGACAATGACAATTTCTTCTTTCCAGTTTATTTTTTCATGAGCTCGACAATTATATGTTTGCTCGATATTATTGACTAATCACATATTGCATTGCTCAATTTTAGTAAGTGTTATACTAAATATTATTGAGGGATTTGTTAAATCTTAATAGTTTTATCTACTTAATTATACCCGCTGAGCTAAGGTATCATAACATGATGATTCCCGATCTAGGTTGATGTCCCAGTTTTACCCAGTACGAACTGTCTCCACAAGATGTTCTCTGTATCCAATATCGACTCTTTATCAGAATAAGATCCTTTCCTACACATGATACTATGATGATTCTGTGTCCCTTTAGGCTGAGGTCTTCCTGAGAGGAGTTTTATTTACTTCTTGTTTTTGACTTTAAGGGGCTGAGCTTGCAACAAGTGCATATTTTCCACTTGGGAAATTTAATATGTTTTACATGTTATATGAATCTATTCATATTTCATGTAGGTAAGGGCAAATAATGTTTTTGTTTGTTTGTTTGTTTTTACATATGTTGCATAGTGGGGAATGGGGAGTTCACATTGTATCATTATAGACATGCTCTAGATTAGAAAAACCCTTTTTCTTGATATAACTACATAAAACTTTTTTTTTTTTTTAGTATGTACACCACTGTCAGAAGGTTGTACTGCTGACTGCAGTTATGCTGAGTCAAGCCAAGGGTTTAGAGATAATCCATCTTAGGGTCTCCACTATCGCTCACTCTGGTGCGGTTTGGTGTCGGTTCCAGTTTATCAGCTCTTTGCAGTCGATTCTGTGTTATTTTAAGCTAGTTGGTAATCCATGGGACCCAGTCAGCCACTCCAGCAAATGGTTGCCTGTGCTCAGTATATTAAAAACAATTGCTTATTCTTTCTACATTCGAAATGTATATCTCACTGTCTGCCTGAGTCATCTCCTAATCTTGGCTCATGTTGAGTTGTGTCATGTTGACAGGGTGTAAAGTGCTGAAGTGAGAGCTTCTAACATTAGTCTGTCCTAGTCACTGTCACAGTAGAGGAGGGAATGTGGAATGTGATCGTCCTGTAAGACCATCCAGCTTGTTTTGAGGCCACGGTTACCTAATAAATTCCACACGCTGGTCAATTGGAGTGATACATAAATAACTCAGTTCTTATTAAGTGTATCCACAGGCTGAGAAAAATCAATGGATAGTTGAATTACATTTAAACACTAATTATAATGGCACTTAGAGAAAGACTGGGATTGTCTTCATACATAAACTTTATATTTAAACCCTATACAATATAAAGCCTTACAGAATGTCAGTGTCAAGTGGTATACTATGCATTTCTTGTAGGAATTGTTTTTATGTACACACACTAAGCATTTCATCATCAATCATCCGCTTCTGACCCAGTTTGAGGATTGTATTTCACACACTTCTACATGACTTCGGGTTCTTAACTCTTCTCTGATTACCATACAACTACCATACTACTCAGCTGGTTCATGTTTTTGACTTAGTATAGCTGTAAAGTGTGGACTGTGAATAATATGCAAACTTGTTCATGTAAAATTGACCTTGTGTGTTTTTCAGATATGCTTTCTCCTGTTTGCTGTTCTCTACATTGTCTCATACTTTATCATAACACGATACAAGAGGAAAACTGGTATGTCTTTATTTTATTTAACCTCAGATTGGTAGAGTTCAGGGAAAATGCTATATTTCTTTGTACCCTTTATTGTATCAGGGCTAAAACAAGGTCAGTGCCAATGCTTGAGCTCTGTCAAACCACACCCTTCCCTGAGCAGATAACTGTCTAACAAAGCTCTGTATTGGTTTAAACAATACACACCACAAATGACTTTACAGACTGTAGTAATGTGGTATATTTGTTGAAATAATGCATATTTGAACACATGTATTTTGAAATGCGATATTCCTTATATTGAAACACACGTCAAAACAACAATTACAGAAAAATCCAGGTAGCTTCAGATTTCCCGTGGTTGAAGAATTGCCATAACAAACATTGCAGCATCATTGATGGTCAGAATAGGTAATATTGGTGTTATTTGGTCAATGTATTCTTCTCTGCAAGGAGTAATATTCAGTCTGCTCTTTATCACAGATCATAAATGGTTAAATACATTTTGCTAGCCTGACATTTAGACCTATCAGTTTTGCAATTACTATGTTTTCTCAAAAGTTTATTTTCCATTAAATGCTTACATTTGCTCTACATTTGGTGGTGGAGGGTTGGCAAATGTTTAAAAAGTTTATTTTCATGGAAATGTTATTGCTTTGCCTGGAATGTTCCTATTTATGACATTAAACTAATTTATTTTGCATTTATTTAATTTCAGGTGGTTTTATTGCTAAATAAATACCTAAAAAAATATGCATTTTTTGTGCTCTCCACCAATCCAAACTGTAACTTGGTCTAGTATTGACGTTACCTGCTTGTCTCTGTGGAGATGGATAAGAGGCCATATCACACAATATTGACTTTTATGGACTTTTAACCATGTTATAATGGTGTTCCATTATCATTTACTTTACTCAGAGTTGTATTTCAGTTCATTCATACATGTGTGAGCAGTTCTGTATTGAGATTTGAGTGCTCAGAAAATGTATGTTTTCAAATGGTTAAAAAATGTCAAAATTTTCAGCAATAAAAACACTTGTGTGCACTGTTTCCTAATGTGAAACTAATGGGGGGTTTGCGGTCTTGATATGAAAGACAACTGACATGTTTCTTTAAGCTCTTTCAGATCAGTATTGCTCTATACAATGAACAAAATGTAAAATAATGATCTACATAATATTATGTTAAAGTTCAGTGCTAAATACTCAAAGTGTACCCGCTTTAATGTGGACCACCAAACCAAAACTGTTACACATGCAGACAGACTGTCCACCAGAATGGTTACATAGTAGTGCACCTTTTTGTGTTTTGTGAACTGAACATTGAAAAAATATTTGCCCTGCCTTCTAATGCCAATAAGTATTTTCTATTTAATTTCTTTGCAGATGACCACGAGGATGAAGATGCTATTGTCAACAGAATATCGTAAGAGGATTTGCTTTTATTTGCACTTTTAAATGAAATCAAATTGTTTCAATCAAATTGCTTTAGGGAGGCAGCATTATTAGAGAGCAGATTAATATTGAAGAGAGTGTTGTGTATAAATAAACACTTGACTGACTTGACTGTTAATTCTCACCACACAGAAAACAATCCCAAACTAATCCCATTGTTACAAGTGATTACTGGCATAATCAGATTAGCTACAGATGATTTTATGGAATTAACTTGTAGTCTTTGTTTTTGAACATCTAATGTGTCCTTAACATGTGAGTGATATTTTGTTTTGTATGTTCACAGATTGTACTTGTGCACCTTTACCCTGGCTGTGTCAGGTGGTGCCGTCTTCCTACTGCCTTTCTCAATCATCAGTAACGAGATCCTTCTCTCTTTCCCCAAAAACTACTACATTCAGTGGCTCAATGGCTCGCTCATCCACGGTTAGTTGGATAATCAGTTAGTTCATTAGTCTCAAATCTTTTTAATAAATTTTACATCATCTGAAAAATAACCTTCATGCTTAAGTTAGCCTAAACATACTAACACCAGCAGTATAGATATTCCTGTTGATACCTGGAATGCAAGGCAAATCGGTTCCAATCAAATAATGTGAACCGCAACTTAAAGTACAGTAGTACTATTTAGTTGCCTATTTGGAGCCATTTTAATTTGATTTAATGTTGTAGTTTTAAAAGTTGTTATTCTACTTGCTAACCACCAGAGGGAGCCCAAGTCCATGACATAATTCTAGCTTACAAGAGTGTTCTTCACAAGCTTAAAAATTACTACTGAGAAATGCGCACTTTAATTAATCTTTTCCATCCAAACAATGTCAACATATATTTAACTTTATTTTGAACATGTCTCATTGGTGATTTTGTGTAGGACTGTGGAACCTGGTGTCTCTTTTCTCCAACCTCTGCCTTTTTGTCCTGATGCCCTTTGCTTATTTCTTCTTGGAGTCTGAGGGGTTTGCAGGATCTAAAAAGGTATGAGTATAAGATTTTTTTTTAAATGATGTTACTGCAATTAATTTAGATGTTTTTGAAATGTATTTTATATACATATATATATATATATATATATATATATATTTTTTTTTTTTTTCTTATTTGCTAACTTGCTTTTAGGTGCATAAATTATCAGTTTCTGGATATAAAATCTATAGGTTTGTGGTGCTGCCATAAATATATCAGGCCTTTGCCTTTTCTTGAGAAACTGTTTTATTAGTTTTGGATATATATTTATATAAACATATATACATTTTAAAATATCATTATTGCAGTTGTTATCTGACATAGTGCCACAATGACTTGTTTAGTGAAGTTACAATGCAACATTATGTATGGCACGCTCAATCTCTAAAAGTCTAAAGTTTTGAGTAATAATTAGTTTAGTCGAATTGCTCGAATAAAACAATTGTTGAAATAGTTAATAAAACAGCTATAAAACAGTTATACTTACATAACTTACATACTTGCATAACTTTTTTTTTAATGTCCTGACCAATATTACACAATACCATTTCATAAATAAGATTTGTATGTGTGTCCTGTTTCTCAATTGTAGCCCCAGCACAAATGCGTTCCTGTTGAAACACATTGTAAAGTGCTTATATCAAAGCGTTGGGCATGAGGCTGTTGGCCTCTCAGCAGCAGAGCCAGGGCAGCGGCAGGTGCCGGGCCGCTGCCCTCTGCCTGACTCACGCCACTAACCGTAACTGCCACCGCACAAAGCTCATTAACCATGAAAGTCCAACCTGGTCTTCGCCCTGCGCCACATCCTGACAAACCCTTTCAATAAGGCCATAGGCTGCAAACGCTTCAACACCGCAACATCGGCCCCATTGATTTAAGGCCTGATTCCTTGTCACCCTCCTCCCCGGCCCCCACCGAAAATAAAACTTCAAAAGCACAGGCTAATAATCGAGTTGTAAGGCTCAGTGAACTTCCTTGTTTAATTGATTACCCACCAAAAAAGCAAGCTTGGGGCTCGTGTTCCCAAAGTCCATAAAGTCGCAGCGACATGACAGCACAATAGAGTCCCGCAAAAGGGACGGGGCAAGATTTGCCTTTAATACGCCTTTATCCTGTGTCACAGTTTGAAACCTGTCTGGTTTATGTCCCTCTTGGCAAAGGCACATAAAAATTAGACTATACTGTAGCATTTAGCCACTTCTTTTCTTCCTTGGTCTGCTAATTTGTTTCGCTTGGATTTCTTCAATAAAGGGCAGACCCCAACATGCAGGAGACAGAGCTAAGGCCTCCTTTCTGTTCTATTTAGGCTGCTACTGATCTTCCATAAATTTAGAGGAGGCACTGGTTAGTGTTTAAATGCACTTACAGCTATTATGCACATATTGAGAAGGGGGTGGTGGTGATGCCTCCCTTTACCATACTCCAGTGCCTATTGCGTTGTAATGACCATGTCAGTTGAAAGATTATGAAAAGCAGAAGGTTTGTATGTGATATCAGGCCTCGCTGTAATAAGCATATTGGTATAAGGTTTTATGTGAAATTTTTTTACCTGCCGGCTAAGTGTTGTAGCCGTGCGAGGTGCTTTTGACTGCGGAAATGAAGTGAATGATGAATTTCACTTGTAACTTTGTAAGTCAGCCCTCTCATGTGGCTGTGTTTACGTTTGACGATGTACTAAAAGACACCACTAGAATAAAGATGGAGAATAAAGTTGTTTTTTTAATGTTAACAGCTCTTCAGAGGCTCTGTCAACTCGCATGATTAATAGTGAAACAAATTGTCCAAATTGTGGATGGATCAGAATGACTTGGGGTCCTAATGTCAAATGTTACTATCCAGCTTTACTTGCTGCCATAAAAGTCTGCTATTTTACTGCTTTCAACTTTTTCTTTCTTTTTTCCTTTTTTTTTTTTTTTTTTTTTAGTGAGTGTTAAATTGAGTAAATAGTTATATAAAATAAATACAGTCAGGTTTATTAACATTATACAATAACAACAATAAATTGTTAAGGAATATATTAACTGCATGGAAAAAATGTATTACAGAATTGTATTATTAATACATTATTTAATTTCAAACAGTGTAACTAGGTTTAGCAAGCAGTTTGCTACCAATATATATAACACCAATACATTGTGGTGCGCACTGATATAATTATTATTTATTTTAATTTACTTATTTTTTATTCAATGAATGGATGGAAGAAAAATAAGTAAGTAACCATACGTAATAATTAATAATAAGTAATACATAATTAAATTAATCTAATCCATATAATATAAGTTGGTTCTTGGAGGAGAACTGAAATGTGTTTGATCCTAAAATGAGTTGGAATGAGTCTGACCCCTTGAGTGACCCAGCAAAAGGCCAACAGGTTTCATCTGGTAGTTAAAGAAACTCCTCATCAATCTCATCCTAAGCTCTAACCCGCCGATGATGAGAAGTGTGTTTATTGTGGAAGGAGGAGAAGGGGGAAACGTCTCACCCAGCTAACCGTGTGGTGTTACTAAGATACTCGTCTTTGTTGGCGCTTCACAATGGAGGCCTGGATATTTATTTCAAATCTCCTGCACATGCAGACATTTTTCCCAGGCCTTCTTTTGGGCAAGGCCGGCAGAAGAATATAAAGTGGTGTTTACATACCTTCCTTTAAGGTCACAATGTCTCCCTAAAGCTGCCTGCTACAATGTCCGTTACCATGGAAACATATTAGCTGAAGCTGGGAATTTTAAAGAACCAGCAACTTGCTAAGAATTTTTCCCCTTTCCCCGTGACTCAGTTTTTTCTAAAAGAACTAATGCGCGTTTATGGTACACTCCATTATTGCACTGTTTAGACACATGAAAATGACACACAGTTGCACTGTTTGACAGTTTCTCCATGTAGTACAAACAAGCTTAAAGTTAAACATTTTTGAAGCCCGAACAAGCTGTGCTCTCTATTTTGAAAAGGCAGAGATCCGACATATCTCATCCTTTTCCCTTAGTAACTACAGTGCTTTCTGAGTCATGCAGTTTCACAGAGAAGTACAGTTGAACCTGGTTTATAATGGTACCCATGCTGTTGATCATGCCCCTGCTCTTGTCATTAAGACTTTAGAACTTTAGCATTCTACAGCTTTACGGCCAGTGTCCTTCTCTGCTTTGTGTCTCTGACACGGTCACTGTGCTGTGGCCACTGCTGAGGCATACACCAATAAAGCCCTGGGCATCTGGTCTACCCCAACCCCTGCCTCCCTAGTTCCACATACACCGAACAGTGATCAGAAAGATGGTGTATAGGATGGTCTGTGCCACGGCTGCTGACCTTGTGACTGTTTACTAGTGACCACTACAACATGTAGGGTTATAGGGATAGTCCTACTTAGATGCTGTGCAGACTTGGATTCATGTACAGGATCATTAAGGGTCCGGGCTGATTGTGCTGATGCATTTGAAAGTTCTCTGCTTTTGCTTGTTTCTGTCTTAATTCATACAGGTTTGTTTCTGTAGTTTTATATAAGTTGATACATTTGATGCTACACACATTTCTTGGAAGTGTGTTCAAGCATACACTTTCAACAGCTAACTAGCCCCTTTCTCGATGTCACTGTGAGGATCGGGGGATGCTGAATATTTCAGAGCTGCTAAATTTAGAGACCGTTACACATTTAGAACGTTAAGAATAGAAAGTTTCAGCATCGCTCTGATGCCTAGCTGGCCTTTCTTTTTCCTCCTCCCTTTTATTCATTAGGCGACAGTTTCCTATGATCTATGATAATGACATAGATACATCTACCTATATTTAGACCAAATGGTTTCACTTAAAATAGCAGAAACCTGCACTTGCTTACTTTTTGTATCAGAAATGAGCAGTGATTGACATAATTAAGACATTCAAATCATGCCTTTCATGTCTATATAAGAGGAAACAACTGATGATACCAAGAGGTGACAAGTATTGCCTTTGCCCTAAATGATCTGAATGGGTAATGATTTGAGCCTTATAAATTATTGAGAGAGCGGTCTAAAGGGAATACACCTTCGGTAGCACATGGGCAGTGTTTAAGGTGGACTGGTGCGCTTGAATGGACGCATGCTCTGTGGCCTGGCTAACTGTGGTACTACTCTAGATACGCCCTTAATAGAATGTGTGTGGGACGTCTTGAGTCCCTGAAAGCATTCCTCTCTCACCTTTTCTGCCTTGTCTAATGCTGACTCCAGTTTGCTATTGGAGTTGGAGTGTTTGTATAAAACTATTTTTCTGTAGTTTTAACAACAAGCACACATTAGTCAGCTGCTGCCCCTAAGTTACTGAAACATGTGTGCAGATTGAGCTGCAAATGCATTTTTGATTTCTAGTATCTTATAAAAATGTTACCTGTGGATTTGTTGTAGTGTCCATCTTAGCCACACTGGGGCACTCCATTCACTGTCCATTTTCTTGCTGGAAAATTCTACTCTTTTTTTTCCATAAGAAAGAGGAGGCAAAGTGCAGATGGAACAATATAATGTTCTTGTTTTTTAATATTTCTTAACAAGTATAAGTAAATGGCAAAATTACAACTACAGATTTAACACTGGCAAGACAAATACTTCTTTGTGCTGCTGTGTCCTACTATTCTGTATCCATAAGCTATGGAGATACAGACTTTGGAAAAGGAGAGATGAAGGCTGATAACTAATCTGAAGACTAGAGCAAGTAGTATTAATTTGAATAAAGACTAGTTATTTTGAAATATCACTTTGTGTCATGTATACAGTCTGTGGTCTTAGTTTCTATTTGTTAAATGGTAACTCCTCCCATTCAACACAACACAAAGATCACACTAAGACAAGATAAACAGGGCAACTTTAATGGAGAGACCCTCTTCATGTTGGTGCTGTGTATACTGAACCATGCAGGAATTATTTTAGCTGGTAACAAATTGCTCATGTGTAGCCAATTTAGGCAAGCAGCATGCCCTTGTTATCCTGCACTGCATAGGCTACCTGACATGTGTAGAGCATGCCCATCTATCTTACAGTGCTAGACGGCTTGGCTCTGCTGCAGGAGGGAGGAGGAACTGTGTGAACAAGTGAAGGAAGACTTTATTAACCACTCAGCAGTTTGTGACCCGGAAAACCCAAATTACCCCAAACCCCTCATGTCTGCCGAGCCCTGGACTCGGCCGTGCCAAGAGAGCTACTAATCAGGCCCAGATGGGAGGTCTGCTCTTGATCGCAGACAGTAGCTGACCCAGGCAGCCTCATGCTCCTGCAATACACCCCCTCCCCAAGTACATGCTTTTTTATTTCATCACTGCTACTACCAGAACCCATTGGAGCTGTTTTATGGACCATTATTTGTTATAAGTATTGTCCATGAAAGAGCTTACTGTATGTTTTCTGTGAGTGGTTAGGATATATCCAGACCAACTATTCAAAATGTATATGCTATAGTCAAGTACAATACTATAGCATTTTAATGAGATGGCTATACTGCATACATATAGATTATGTATAAATTTTTCCTTTTATTCCTGCTCTCGTCTTTTAGGGCATAAAAGCACGCATTCTGGAGACTTTTGTCATGCTCTTCCTGTTGGCTCTGCTCATCCTGGGTATTGTGTGGGTAGCATCAGCACTCATAGACAATGATGCAGCCAGTATGGAGTCATTATATGGTTGGTCAATTGTTGTATAGTTTTCTTATTGATTTTATATACTGATCTTTATAATTCCTTTTTTATGTTTATAGATCTTTGGGAATTTTACCTACCCTATCTTTATTCTTGTATATCTCTAATGGGAGGACTGCTTTTACTTTGTAAGTACATTGTGCACATATGAAATACATATATATATATATATATATATATATATCTTTTTTACAATTTCATCATTTACATTTTTTTTTCTTATTAAATAAAATTACATTGCTTTATTCTTTGTGTATAGTGTGCACTCCAGTGGGACTGTCTCGGATGTTCACCGTCATGGGACAGTTGCTAGTGAAGCCAACAGTAAGTTAATTTATGTGATAAATCTGGATAATTACTTTAAAGTGCTGCTAAACACCCTGCCAGAACCTTACTCTGGCCACAAGCTAAATTTGAAAAATGTGATCAGTTATAAGTATGACAGTAGAATACAAATACTCCAGCAACTCTTCCTTCCACCTGGCCTCACCTTGGTTCCACTTGGGCTTAATTCTAACCATGTCATATTTTCTCCTCTTTAGATCCTGGAGGATCTGGATGAGCAGATTTACTGTATCCATTTGCAGGAGGAATCGCTTCAGAGGAGATTGAACGGTAAGTATGTGAATCAAGATTCTGTTGGTTTTGAAATATAAAATGTAATAATGCCACATCCCGACATGACAAGGTGTCTGCTATTGTCATTACTTGCACTTAAGTAGCTTACACTTATGTGAGTACAAAACTAATTTCTCAGTTGCGTCAAATTACAACATCCCCATTTGTCTCTTGTGTTTATGCAGTTTAGGTGTTGTAGCTGGAGTAGGGCGGACCATTAGATTTCTCTTTTGGTCATCTCTGATGACTATAACAAATGACCTGCTGCAGCATGCAGTTGTTTCATGACCTTTAGGTGCTACCACTTACTGTAACTGTCTTTTGGTCCCCTGCTGTGAGCAGTCAGACCAAAAGATCTACGTCTGAAAGGGGAAATTGTATCTTTAACACAACTTTTAATGTCCTGCCCACTATGTCCTTAAATATCTTTTTGAATGTCCACAATGTATGAAAAGCAGGAAGAATTCAGGCAAGGTAACATACTTTAATATTAACTCAAGCATGCAACCAAGTGTACAGATGCAGTAAATGAAGAGAACAAGAGTCCTTTCAAACCAGGGAGGTAAGTGAGATCTCTCCCTGATAAACCTGTTATTGTCAGATGCTGTACCGACCACCTCCATACACTGCCACTTAAGCGTTTGGTTCCATAGAGCTTGTTGCATACTGCTTTGCTCTGAACTAAAAGTGGAAAATTGTAATCTGTTCCTTATCTATGATACTGTTTGAAGTCTTGAAGGCACAAAATATCTGTGGTCAGCTCCATATGTGCACTGATTCCAAGCTGTAGTTCATTTGGACCTGTTGAAGAGACAGGAATAGGGGCTAAAAGAAGATGGCGATCACCGGAAGCTTAGGCTTATCAGCTCTTTATGTTTTTATGCACATACTGTATGCATATGCACTTGTCAGTGTTAATGCGCTCACATAGGTGGGGTGCTCTTTTGATCTGCTCTGTCCAGCATGGTTCAGGGATAGTTCAGGGAACAAAATCCTCAGGCTTTGTCCTCTTTGATGACTGGTCCCCATCAGGTGCATTTGTACTGTGTGAGATAGCATTTTAGAAGACACTGTGTTGACATTAGATGGATGTTGGGGACATTTACTTGTGAGTAATGGACACTCTGGCCGATGCTGTGGGCCAAAAAAGGGCAAAAGGTAGGTCCTAAATCATGCAGTATTTTAAGTTTTGGTCTTCCCTGCATTGCAAATTTAAGCTTTATAACATATGGGTAATTTTTTTGGTGCGGGGATCTATGGAGATGTGACTATTTGTGGCCAAACCTCCTTGCAATGCCTGACCTCGTCAGATGTCAGGAGGGCACTGTAAGTGATCAGGAGGGTTTTGAAATGTAATAATGGGGTTTTATTGTTAATAATGCCCTTGACAAACATGTATGTCATTCAGTGTAAATCTTGCATAAAGCACAATTTAAATTTTGTGAAAGAAACCGCTCATGTTCAGCTGACAATATACCTGTAGGTTTCCAAAATATCAGCCTCACCCAGCAGCTATCCTGGATTCATCTCCCAGTTACTTGGGTCCATCAGACAACATCACATAGTGTGACACGCTCTTATTCCACAGATACATGTAGAATGTGTCTCCACAGGAGCCCAAAAACAGGCCTGTACTGCAGATTGGATGAGGACAGGCTATGGTGCCATGGTCCTGCCCAGCTGATGTTCGGGCACAGGCCTGTCCAGATGCTATGCGGCACAATGACCTTGCTTGTGCCTCTGTTGTCTCAGCAGGGTGTTTAGCATATTTGAGGCTGACGTCATTTTGAGACTGTGCTGAAGGTTGGAGAGGATATGTTGAATTACCCCAGGCTTTCCTGGCTGCCAAATGCCTCACTCAGCATCTCTGCCTCGCTCTTACTCTCTTTTACTGGAAGCTGCCAGCAGTGCAAGAGTCTAGTATAATACCATGAGGATCTTGGAGGACTAATTTTTTTTTCTAATTGCTTTGAGCTTCTTGTCTTCTTTGGATATTCAGTTGTATTTATGTAGAGTTGATTAACAGTAAATTATTTGGTTATTGAATAGCCTGACTTGGTTAACAATAAGCATGCAGCTGATCAAGTTCACAGCATGTTGAACTGCCAATGACATTTCCTGTTGTGCTGTGACTGCATTTGCTGGAGGTTTCAAACTTCCCCCTTCTTAGATCTGGGACAGGTGTCTACAAGGGCACAGACAAGAGTGTAACTCTCTCTGCTACCTACTTAAAGTCATCCAGACAGGGTGTGTCATAATAACAGAGCGGCAAAAAAAGTTTGATCAAAGTGATTGGCCTCTCACTCCTGTAACCAAGATGAAAGATGGTATTTTTATTGCATGCTAGTAACGGTGTAACACTGAACTAATTGGGCTTGATCTGTCAATCACCTCAGGGGGTGCAAATGGATACTTTCCCCCCTTTTGCTTTAAGGGGCTTCGACACCACTACGTTGAACTGGAAACAACACAGAGTAAAATAGATAAATTAGCCTTAAATGAGCTGGCCTTGTGGTTTTCCCGGAGAATCCCTTGCTGTCTTCTCAGGCCCTCTCAACCAGTTGCGGCATGCACTAGACAGCTTCTGACACAAGGGATTTGGTTGTACTTGTTGGAGATCACATTGTTATGTTCAGAGGATGATTACTCATGTTGTATGATTGCCTAATAAACATTATGTATAAAATGTCCTCATAACTATGGCTCTTATGCAACTATACACACTCACGATCTTTTCCACTTTGGTGAATTACTGTGTTTAGAAAATACTTAAACAGTAATAATGCTCTTCTGTTTGTTTTTACAGGGTCTTCCATCCATCCCACATATACCAGACCTGGCTTTGCCTACCAGCTCCACAAAGAACTGGACAATGTTAGAAATCAGAGGAATAAACTGGGTATGTTTTTGAATGGCATAACAGCCCTGGTTAAGCAAAGTAATCAGAAATGTATGGAAAGAAGTGGACTTTTTACATATTGCTGACAGACAGGTGCTTTCTCCGTGTCTGCCTTAACTTGGACCTGGACCAGAACTGTCTGATAATTTTCCATCCATTTTAGGATATTATAAATGAGACCTCAGTCTTTTGGGGAGCTGTAGGGTGGGGGACACAAAGGCACTTAGGATATTGGACAAGATGCAAACTTTATATTGTAGCTAGCCTTTTAGTGATGTCATTAATTTAAAGGGATGGTGCTTATAAAGTGCTTTTGGCAAACTTCTTGGGCACGCAGGGTGGATAGACTATGACAATAGAGAGTATGTACATGTTTGGAAATGGTGAAGGGAAGTCAATATGGCAAGGGCTGTAGGCCAATGTAAGGACTGGATAAAAAAAAAAAACTGTCTAATGTTCCGCTGATGCATATGTGTGGACACCTGGAAATCAAAAGGGCATCAGTAAACTTCATTCTATGTTCTTTCATCAGAGAGAAGAAAGAAAGCATCGGGTTGGGAAAAGAACTTGTTGTATCCTATGGTCATGCTCATTCTGCTTAGTGGAACGGTGAGTCCATCTGTGGCCTGAAGCCAGGCCAGACTTGTGCCTGAGGAATACATTGCATTCATTTAAAAATTCAGACTCACAATTATGTGGTGGTCAGTAATAAATGAATTGGGCAGTGGTCACTTTGTATAATATCACACAGGCTATCTTCAAATTGCTGTTTAGAATAAAACAAAATGTATGTTTTGTTTTTTTAAATTTTCATATTCATAACTTAATAGCAGCAAAACATTTTCTACCGTAATTTTACTTAATTCTGTACATGGAGAGATGATGCCCTATGTACACATTCATTAACACGTTTTTGTGTGTGTTTGTGTGTATATAGACAATCTCTGTTCTGATGGTGGCATTAAATATCCTCTATCTTCTGGTGGATGAGACTGCAATGCCCAAAGGATCCACAGTAAGTCACTGGACTAACACAGTACACATCTAAACTTCAGTGCAGCGGCCATGTTGCCGGCGTAGACATAAATCAAATTCCGGTTATGCTCAGGTGTATGTTCAAAGAAAAGGACTGAGCAGATGTTAATCAGGCTCCAACCTTGCTCTTGAAGTTTTGTTTTGAAAACTTTTTGAAAGTCATTTTACACACAAGTGCACATTCAATGATCTAGGTGTGTTTCAAGTCCACAGTTAAATAAGTAGATGGGGGAGATGTTGTTCTTCCTTACAGTAAGAAAAAAAAGGCAGCAAATGCTATGTGAGGAATTGCACTGGGACATTCTCATTTTTTTCATATGTGTGATGTGTTTTAATTTGTTTTATCTAAACTTATCAGCAGTGACAGGAATACGTGCATCCACTTGCATGTATGTGTTCAAGTTTCAGTTTTGTCAAATATGGGAAACATAATGTATCGTATTTCTCCATAATTTTTCATCTTTATAAGAAACCGACAGCCACAGCCACTGACATTCCAATTATTTTATTGAGTAGGGATGTTTTCTTTGGCTTGGCACATAGCAGAAAATCCCCCAAATTACACTTGTCATGTTGCTTCAAAATGTGTGCCCCCATTCAGTGTTATTGCTGGGCTGGATATATGCCACACATCACTACAAGGAATCAAAATTTGTGTGCAGTGGCTCTTTATGATCAATAGAGATGTGGATCTTTGTTAACTCTATACTTCAGCCCTCTAGCACAGAAACTCCCTAACAGATAGCTGCACCATATCTCAGGAGCAGAGTAGGCACCGTTTGAGCCTAGAGAGTGACTACAGGACCAGAGCCAGCAGCCGTCAGACTGTGGGAAAGTCAATTCAGACCCGATCCACTGATTGTTGTAGGGGGGAGAGCACAAAGAACTGGCCAGTCTATGTTTGTCTTCCCTTCTCCCTCGGCATCTCCCTGCGGTTGCAGGGAGATGCCGAGGGAGAAGTCCTCTGACCACTCACTTTCACAAATAAAGCCTGGGGACATTTGGGGAGTAAGGCTATGAGGAGAGAAGCAGTGGATTCAGTTGTAAACGGTATAATAAGGAGCTTTAACATGTGTCATTGTGTTAAGTCATTACAGTCTTTCAATTCCTTTACTAAATCAAGCTGTTTGATTCACACCTTTTTCTGGAATAAAAATACTGTATGAAAGACACATAAGTACAATTGTCCACATATATAACTACATGCATACAACACATGTAGTTAACAAGAATTTATGTCAGGACAGTGCCAACAGGAAGCCTCCATCAATAAATTACATCACACACACTGCTAATTCCTTGTATATGGGCCACTGCAGCTCTACGTTTTTTTTGTTTTGTTTTTTTTTCTTTAAACAAGCAAACGTCTTCTGTCTGGTACTTTTACAGAATTAATTAAGATATTGATTGTCCAATTGTAGCGTTTGCATCACAACAAATGAATTACTCCAAGAGGGCTCATCTGAATTTAGACCTCTTGGTACAACACTAAGTAATGCATGTCGATAAAGGATCTCATTCAGTTGTTTCACAGGGATGAGATAATGCCTCTGCAAAAAGCAATATTACTAAACAGTATTATTATATATTCTGTTGCTCAGCATATGTCCAGAATTAATAACAATTTTAAGCCAAATGCTCATGCTCCAGCTCCATCAGTGTGCAGTGTAGACTATTTTGAACACTAGAGAACTTTTATTTGAATGCACCAAGATGAAATGAACAATCCAGCAGTCTGATTTAAATTGTATAATTTTAATTTTGCTAATCTAATTAAATGATTTCTTTCTTCTATCTTACAGGATCGTGGAATTGGCAACACCTCTCTGTCTACATTTGGTGTGGCTCAAGCTGTGCTGGAGATTATCCTCATGTTGTATCCTTTGTGTGCAAAAACATTTTTCGCAGAAAAGTTATCAAGTATATTTAATTAACAGGGTCACGTTTTTGGTCCTTAATTCGTTCAACAGCTACTTGATGGTGTCTTCCGTTGTTGGCTTTTACAGTCTACGAGTCTTTCAGGGACTTACTCCAAGAAAGGATGATACAACCATGACAACGGTGAAGATGGGGAGGACAGTGGGGAAGACTGAATTTCTTGTTGATAAAAGTGTATTTCATATATTTTGCGGTCTTTTTTTCTCTTACTGTTCTTCTCTTACTGTTGCCTCTGTCCTGAACCTCTAATATGTTTTTCTCTGGGATCTTGAATAGCTTTAGAAAAGCATATCCAATATTTGTTTGTGGGTTGTGCAAAGTGCAGGTTTCCTTTGCTAAACATCAGAAGGAGGGCAGGCTTTTGGGAGGTGGAGGATGTGAGTTGCTTTGGCCCACAGTGGCACCCATTCACTTGGTAATGAGTTTGGTGGTGGTGCAGCTTATTAACTAGCCATGACATGCCAGTGAAAGGACTTGAAGGAACAATGGAAAGAACCTGGTAATGAGCAACATCAGTAGTAGTAATGTTACTACTTTTACAATATGTGGAACCAATATAGCAGAGAATGCTCATGTGAAAACATGTCTATTGAGTCTGTGTGGGCAAAGTAAAATGTAGGATTTACTGTGTTAATTTGCTATAAATTATGATTTTCTTTATATTTGCAGATTATTGGTTGTTGTGTGTCCATCTTGGTCTTGAGTTCAGCATTGCCAGTCATGTCCAGAACATTAGGTAAGTGCATTGGTTGCTACCTTTACATGCTAACTGTCATTTGACTTACAGCAGAAAGACAGGGGACAAGGGCTGGGGATGGAGTGGAGTGGTACAGTTAAAATGGCTGTAATAAAGAGCAATACAAAGCACAGCTGTTCAAATAGTAATGGCCTGAGTGTGATTTTGAGAAACTAACACAGTGCAGCGCGAGCATACAGTGAGTCACTGGGGGCTTTGCAAAATATCAACAGGTTCTGCTTTGTGAGAGTGAATAGATGAAAAGAGATGAATGCGTGGGACCTGGCTGAAAAGAAAGGCTCCCTCAACAAAACAGACACATGTAGAGTGTGACAAATGAAGACGTTATGAGACTGCTGTCTCAAGTTACACCTTTTTAACCATAGATTGATTGATTGATGATTTTATTTTATTTTTTTTCCAAATCCAAAATCAAATTAGTGGCTACTGTTTTAATAAGTATATAACTTTTGATTTGCATGAAATATAGTATGTTTGCTTTTTTGTTTTTGAGAAAAGTGATTATCTATTTCTATATCGGTGTAATTGTGATGTTGCTTCATTACAAGTGCTACGGTTATGGTTTGTTTTTGACTGCATTATATCCATTTGTGTCATTTTAGGTATTACCAGGTTTGACCTTTTGGGAGACTTTGGGAGATTTAATTGGCTGGGAAACTTTTACATTGTTTTGTCATACAACATGCTGTTTGCAGTTGTCACAACACTATGCCTTGTGAGAAAATTCACCTCTGCAATACGAGAGGAGCTCCTGAAAGCATTAGGTACCTTTATCTTAATGTAAAATATTGCTATAAAACATACATTTCATGTTGTTAAGAAACATTGGGGTAGGACGGGGTCTAGTAGTGTGACATTAAATGGAAGAAGAGCATTAATACCTCTGTCTATGCGAGTCAGGTGCAGTAATGAGATTTCTTTCCTTATCTTGGTCTGCCCAGGTCTGGATAAATTACAGCTGTCAAACAGCCCAACAGACCCGGAATCTGGGAAGCTCTCTGCAAACGGGCATCAGAAAACTCTGTGAAAAGGACATAAGATCAACAGCATGTTCACACACACACACACACACACACACCTTAGCACAGCCAAAGGGAGATTTCAACAGAACTGCCTGTCTGCTGAAAGGTAAAGGGATTGGAAAGAACTTAATAAACCCAGGCAGTGTCTGATGGATGCTGCAAATGGAGGCTGAGAGCAATTTAGCTTCATGACATTCCATCGCCTGCATCTTGGATGGAGCTGGGACAGAGCCAGGAGGAGTGAAAAAGACTGGCAACACTGCAGTAACCTTGACGTTGACCTCAATAGGAACGGTGACTTAAAACACTTTTCTGGCTTTTCAAATAATCCCCTTCTGCTCAACTCCTGTTTGGTTCTCCCTCTGCTCCTTTCAAGTGGCTAGAGCAGGTGAAATAATGCACCTTCTGTGATGGAGAAGTTCTCCCATATTTCCATTGGTCTGTCATGAATGTGGGAACTCAAAACAGGTATGTCTCCAAATTCATGTTTTTATTGATTTCCCAATTTTGCTTCACGCAATTGTAAAACATGTATAGCTTATAGATTGGTCTTGTAGGTCTTATTTTTTATGGCTGTAGCCAAGACTGGTTGTAACGTAAGATAGTGTTTAAAATATAGAACTTGAGGGACATGTCACTGAGCAGTAATAAATGGTAATCTGAGCTTGTTTTGTTTATTCTTAAAGTTGGACTACCAACATTTTAATATGCATCAGTTGCTATTATATTTGTGCATCAGCTTTTATTGACAGAGCTGACGTAAAATCTGTTTTTATCTGATTTGTAAATGTTGTATTTACATGTACATATATTCTTTTCATACCTCTTTTGAGCTTCTGGATGTAAAATAGGGATTTTAATTAAGTACAAAGATTTTCTGTCATGTAAATCTTGTTTTATAACATCTTGTACCTTAATGCAGCATTTTCAGAAAAGGGTTAGTGAGTGCTTGATTGCAGAGACTAGGTAACTCAGGCTCCATGTATTTGTTGTATAGCTGCATTATAATGAACTGTGATGTTTTCAGTGTCCAGTACCACCTTGAATGCCTTAAACTGTCTGTGAATCTGTAGTCAGCTCATTGTTGAAGTTGATGAAGGTTGTAGTCGTCATGTGTCGTATGGTATGTCTATGTGATGTGAGACAGTTCCACTGTGATGCCCCTGTATGGCAAGTTTAAAGGTACAATGACTTAAATATGCCCAATAAATATCCCTTTTTTTGTATTATAACAGTCTTTTTCACAATTTGCAGGGGGCCTATAAATTAACCTTTTTGGCCAATGTCCTGCCTTTAAAATGGGAGGATGAAAACATAAGAAAATATAAATGATCAGTAATGAATTAAAGCTGCATAAAACAGTCTTTTTGAGTTTACTATTTTGATACTTGGGCTTGGCTAAAACCAGCACTACCTGGGTAGAGGCAGAAATGAACTTTTGAATGTTATAAATTTTTGAAAAAAGTTTGCCAGCACATAAATCAAACAAAAATATTACCCATGATATCATCAGAGTTGCCAGTAAGCAGTCTATGAAGACATCAATTTATTGATTGGCCAGATATACATTATATACACATATTTACAGATATAAATCTCAAATTTCGTATCTTTGATGGATTAATGATTATTAATACTGATAATTAGAGCTAGGTGAGAGAGCATTTTTATTGGAGTTCCTGTGCATAGTATACCAGAAAACTGGGACCACTTGTATAGTAGCACTTTTCTATGCTATTTTGTCCCACAGATAAAAAAAAAAAAGTTACTAAAAATACATGACTTTCTTTGTATTGCCAATGAGAAATATGTCGCCCCCCCCCCCCCCCCCAAACCTAAAATAGCTGAGGAATGCAATTGTGAACTGCATTGATTGTTATCTCCTAAAATAAAACCCAGTAGCACTCATGTTATGGTAACAGTCATTTCTAATCCTTAATTTTATGTTTACTGTCAAAAAGCAGCAGCAGCAGCTTTTGTCATTATTAATGTAACCTTTGGTATATGTTCTGTGTATGTTTTTTGTTTGTTTGTTTGTTTGTTTTTTTACATTTCATGTAAATAAATTGTATGTACCTGTAATTTTTTTTTACGGTCTCTGTGTTTGCAAATAAAGAAATCTTGCAACCATTATAGTCATGTTGGTTTATAGTCAGTAATGTTGACTACATACTGTATGAGTGTAGAAACATGTTAATATTACATAATTATACTTAAAATTAGAGCAGCTTTTTGTGGTAGACAGACCTGCACAGTGGACAGGACAGTTGGCTGTCTGTTGTTAAGGTCTCAAAGGACTGGAGGCAATTGTGGTGAAAAACGTGAGAACAGGACAGCAGCACACAGCGTCTGTGCTGAGCGTACCTGGCCTCGTCTCTTTCTGTCAGGCTGGGAGTGTGCAGTGCAGTTAAACAGATGGGGCAGTCCCACACTCCTCTCTGGATGACCTGTCACAAATAGAAAGGTTTTGTCTACTACTACAACCTGCAGAGCTCTCAGCAATGACAGCTATATAGACAGGCTATGCAAATATAAATAAATTAGATGTAATTAATATGAATACATTTGTAATGCATTTTATATGTTGGAGCATTTCAAGTTCCTTAGGGTAACCTTAAAAAGGCAAAAACACAAGCAAAACAATCACAAAAGAAACATGCATTGAAGGTGGAGAAGGTGACATGGACAGTATAATGACAATAAAATCATTTAGCAAAGCATTTGACTGACTGTTGTTTTGATGGTGCCTGTAAAAGCTACACTCCAGGAGAACTGAGAGCAGACTGTGCACATATTAACAATAATTATCAAAACGTTTTATGACTCAAGAAAAAAAAAAAAAAAAAAAATCGGTATTTTGTGAGAATACAAGCATTCATGATCCTTTTCTGGTGTTTGATTTTCAACAAAAAACGTGAGAGTGACCAACTGAAAAATTATTGGCGAAAGATAGCTATCTTGTGATTTTAATGTTATTTGCGATGGACTTGTTTAACCACACAAATCAGCTCTCCTGTTGTAGCTCTAACTTAGTCAGTTCTTTACAGTCTGATTGTGTTACAACAAAACAAATTAAAGTCTAACTTGAGTAACAAAGCTTCAGACAGCGTAATGCCTTTCATTAGCATCACACCCTCAGGGAATGTTGACGACATCAGCTGCAAAGTATCAGTCATTGGTCATTAGTTCTAATAATTGTTTTATTTACCTGTCTCTTGTTACTGATAGAACAATCACATAGAAATAATGATAACATAACAGTATCTCACTCTGACCTGGCTTTGTATTCTGTCCCAGTGGTGCTCCTTGGGCATAGACATGTGTCTTCTCTCCAGCTCGTCAAATACTTGTCTGCTTGATGACAGGGAGTGGTCAATATCACTCAAAAAAGCTTCTGTGTCCGTGTGACAGTATTGGACAAAGCTGTCATTCAACTCCTGCAACTAATTAGAAAAACATTTCAGAAGCACAAAGGAGACATGTTTCATTCAGAGTCACAATGGAGTGCTGTTTCACTGAAGGCTACTGAGTGTAGAGTACAGACTGGAGAATGGTAATGGGTGCAGCAGTTTCTCTGTTTTTTTTTTTGACATGGGGAACTGATGTGGAATTGGTACAGTTCAGCAAAAAAAAAAAAAAAGGCATATTAAAAGTTTGAACGCTTACTCAGTGCAAGAGATATAACTGTATTTCAGATCTGTTTCTGTAAAATTATTAAAGTTTTTCACAGAATCTTGCATTTTAACTGCACTTTTGGGGTGTAAAGCAACCAGGTTATAGATACTAGTTACTGCATAGCTGGTTAGCCCCTGCAATGCCTTTGAACTCTTAATATTTGAATTTTTGGAAAAGTTTATGGAAAAATTTATGGAAAATTTAGTCCTGGAACTAGAGCAAGCAGTCACTATTGAGTTCCATTTTAACTTCAAAATAAATAAAAAAATAAAAAATAAATATTGCCACTGGAGTAAATGAAGCAACATTTATAAAAAACATAAAAAAGATAACAATTTCAAATAATATGGCATCTCCTTCCAGTAAAACAAAAACAAGAACATTAAGTATTTTCCTTTTCATTAAGTCGTTTAAATCATCAGTCACCACTTTCGTTCTCAAACAACAGAGTATCCGCCCAGAAGTTGTCTGTCTTCATCCATTTACTGCACCTGTTGCTAGGCAACAATCTATGCTTGCCAATGAAAATGAATGTTTATATCAAAAACTATTCAATAGTCAATGAATAGAGTATTTATACTAAATATAGCTGCTAGTACCAAAAATACACCATGTTGCAATTTTTCAACAACACTTTAGTTTTTTATTAGTATGTGTAATGGCCTCAAATCACTGGATTCTACATGAGGAGCACTGCAGTGTACAGTAGAAAGCATGGGCATTGATTTCCCTCTGTCTGACACACAAATACAAAGTCACAATGACATCAAAATGTCTCCACGGCTCAGCTTTTATCACTAATTAAACAACTGTTAACCGTTTGGATAGAGAGTTTTATGGGACTGACTGCCTCTTTGACAGTCAAAGCAAACAGCACAGCCTCTGGTGAACTTTGCCTTACTCCACTATGAGTGTGAAAAAAAAAAAAAAAACACAAGGAAAGGTGAAGTGGCAAAAACTGCAGCACAACAGTCCTACATGGAGAACCTGAACCACTGTAGAGAATGAGCATCAATTACTATGTCCACTATTTTACACATGTTTCATCCTAGTACTAACCTGCATGTTTGCATTACAGTCAGCTAAGCAAATAATTCTTCTCTTTGAAAAATCTAGTCAATCAATTCTGTCAGCACTGAGTTGCACAGCTCACAGCTCTTGAAGATCATGCTATGTGTGACAAAAGATATGAGACAATCTCCTGACCACCCACGACTACTGATTCACTCCTCATGAAGGTAAAGCACGGGGAGGTTCTCTAACACTTTATAAAAGTGTAAGTGAAGTGCATGCACAGGGAACTGCGGGGACAATAGATTACTCTTAACAGTAGCATCTTTAAATCTATATTATGATGAGAGCAATACGAGACTGACATTACCAACGTTTAGGTAGTGATATGTAGTAAACAAAATATGCTCTTGGTATTCTGAGAGGAATAAAATCTGGTTAAATTTGACAAAATTTATTTTCAAGATGATGTAGCCACTCAAATGGAATTGTTTCACTAGGTGGCAATGTTCCCTTTTCCTCAGAGTCAACAGGTGAAGCCAACACATTATCTTAAAGAAAAGAGCTCTCAGAGGACACAAATCTCCTTACAGAGGGCACCTATGTATGATGTGATACTTTCAAGTCAACAACAAACCACTCATGTTTATCCTAAATGTGTTTGAATTTCGTGTGGATCCTGGAATGTGCAGTGGACTGTTGATTCAAGCGCAAGCCTCAGTCCAGATTAATGAACAAACAGGGAGGGATTTACAGAGCATCAAAGGACTCTGGGACAACAGTAAAAGAGGTGTACAACAGAGCATATTTGACTTACAACTGGGGTCATCAAGGACCAGAATCAATAGCTTAAAACAATCATGAAACAGAAATTAACTTTGCAGTTAATTATATAATTGCAATATCTCACCTTTTCCTCAAAAAATCTCTGTCGGAGTAGCTTCTCTTTTGGACATCTGGTTTTCATTGCATTTGTGTACCATTTACGAATAGTATATCCTCTCCACCATGCTTGAATTCTATACATAAAATATTTACAATATTTAAACACATTTCTTTCTTTGTTAGTTTTTTAGGCTATTTTCTGAATTGTTACTAGTTTCCTAACAGTTGGAAATATGGTAATAGGGTTATGTTTGTACCTGGTGGCACATTGGTGTCGAAAAAGATTTGCTGCATCATGGATCACCCGAGTCTTATACTGCTGTCTCCTGCAAACTGGGCAAGACTTTTGTCTTGAAAACTTTTCAAAAGCCTGAACACAAGCTCTGTGGAAGACGTGTGAGCAAGACAGCAAAACCTAAAGACACAGAGCTCATAAATAATGTGTATAAAACATAAGATACATACCCACAGCCATACACATAGGTGTAGTGGTAAGTTTTAAATGGGTCTCTAAATATATTTTATATTTAAAGAATAGAATGAACATGACTCCCATTAAGCTACTTGGGACCTACAGCATCCTCCACCCTTCAGACTGATGCTTTTATTGTTTGAAAAGAGACAGCAACAGCTATGGAGCTTGGCACACAAACCAGTTTACTCAAATCTCCGGGGGAGATGGGGGATATTGATTTCCCATTGTTTTTGGTCTGACCAACACACTCCATCACTGGTGAAAGGGCACCCTGCAGTGTACAGCTCTAAAAGCTGGACAAGCCATTAAACAGAGAGAAATTTCAATTCTTAATAGGCTTAAAGGTACCAGACTATAGTTTATGGCTAGAAATATCAAAATAAAATTATACTATTGGACGTTTGACCTCTTAAACAAATAATTATCATTCATATAACATTGAAAATTACATTTCTATTACAGAAGAAATGCAATACACACTACACACACGTCAATACATGATGTAGCTATAATTACTGAAATTATAAGAGTTTCTTGGGATTTTACCTTGGTGAAAGTGAGCTTCAATTGTTCTATTTTGGAGTCAAACTAATATTTACATGTGCATCTATGGTAACTACTTTGAAAGGCTTGCCTATTCTATGGTAGCATTCTTAAGGAGATTGGCATCTTAAAAGGGGGACTGGAAAGGTGTGAAAGACTGAATGACCCTCACTATAACCCACTGATTGCTACATCATCATGTCACAGTTCAGTTCCAAGGCAGTATGGGTAAATTTGTACAGTTGTCTACACAGATTAGAACATACAGGAACTACAGGGGACCAGCAGGGGGGCTTTGTGTGTGTGTTTCAAATGGAAACAAGCATTACCTCCATGACAGTCTGAGAACACAGAAAACATTAAAGAAAATAGGCTAACCTTTAGGTAGGTGTACCTTTTCATTTGATTGATTAAACATAAACCCTTTTGTATTAGTAGCTGAATTAATACACTACCTGAGGCTTGAGGTGAAACTCTTCCTTACATATCGCACATGGGTAGATTGATTCTCGCTGTTGGACAGATCGAACTTTGATGAGTGACCACTGCTCCTCAGTCAGCCTTTCAACTGGGCCAGCTACTAAACCCATTCTCTCAGCTGAAACAGAAAATACTGTGTAAAAACAAAAGGTATGATGATGCTGATGAGGTACAATATATCTAACACAGTAGTCACCTAATGTCAGTGGAGTTTGAGTATTATCAAGTTCATATTCTCTCTCTTTGCCCAAATCCTCTTCTTTGACACTTAGACCATTCTTTATCTTTGTGGATGATTTTCTTCTACTTTTCCATAGAGGGCCAGATCCAGACAATGAAAGACTTGGCAATAGCAGCTTTTTGGTGATGTGGTCCTGAAGGGCCGCTGAAGTTAGTGCCAGCCTGGTGGTCATAGGCATAACCCCCTGTAAAACACACGAGTCATAGTCCTCCTAAAATATATAAAACCCATTAACAAGTTACATACACACAGATGACACGGTATAACAGATTATATAGGTTATTGTTTGACCTTTATCAATAAAACAAGTGACGTAAACTAAAACACAAACCTTTCGAGCTGCCATCTGTGTTGGTGCAGTCACTTAGCAACAGTCCCCACCCATTCTCTCTCTGTCCTGGGACCTCATTGGCTCGCCGTGAGGCTGAGCCGGGGCACAACCAGTGTTGGGAAGGTTACTTTTAAAATGTAATCCCCTACAGATTACAGATTACACACCCCAAAATGTAGTTTGTAACGTAATCCATTAAATTACTTAAAGTGAGTAACGTAATCTGATTACTTTGGATTACTTGATATTGTCATGTTTTTTTAAACGACATGAATGTAGCCACCACATCCTGAAAATTCTTGTTTGTTGTCTTCAAATTGTCTGAGCCCAAGTCTCCATGAATAAGCAGCTGTTTGCTGTAGAGAAACAAAGACCATGATATCTTAATATAAGAGGTTTTGTCTGTTAAAAGACAATAACAAGATAAGCTTTTCCTTCACCATATTAAAAAATATTATTGATAGAGAAATTATTTTTTATATGAGATCACCTTAAATTATGTCAACCTACTGTTAGGTGTCATGTTGTTTAGACCTGGTTTAGTCCTGGTTTAGTCCTGATTTTAGACCTGGTCTAGACCTGGTTTAGTCCTGGTTTAGTCCTGATTTTAGACCAGGTCTAGACCAGGTCTTTACTTCTGGTTTAGTCGTGGTTTAGTCCTAGTTTAAACCTGGTTCAGTCCTGCTTTAGTCCTAGTTTAGTCCTGGGTTAGTCCTGGTTTAGAGGCGCACAGGAGGAAGCGCGGTTTACGCGAGAAAACACAGTCCACACGCGGCGCACGAGACGGCGGTGTCCGCACTGTAACTACGGAAGGAGACGTGGTCCGCGGGTTCTCAGGTTGATGACGATGAATGAAGTGTTGTGTGTGTGTGTTGTGTGTGTTTGTGTGCACGTCCCCTCATGTCGCAGGTCATTATAGGACAGTAGTGCAGATATTATGAGTCTATGCAGGTTGTTTTCACCAGTGCCAGTAGCTCCTGTTTCACATTTAAGTTGTAGGCGATTTTATATTTGTTTTTGTTTTTTTATATATATCTCACATCGGAAGAAGAATTTCCAAGACACAAATGCGTTTTTACCAATGCACTGCTGCTTCCACTGTGTGACTGACACCGCCAACTTTAACATGACGTTTACATCGCTCTTATTGCGCGCGTTCTGTTTGGGCTTCAGGCAATGAGTGAAATTACCGAAATAAAAAAATAAATAAATGGGATGTAGCACAAAATGTGAAAACAGGAAAATACCGCCTTGTAATCCACTTATTTCAGCAAAGTAACTGTAATCCAATTACCACTCATTGAAACAGTAACTGTAACGGAATACAGTTACTCATAATTTGTACTCTGATTACGTAACGGCGGTACATGTAATCCGTTATTCCCCAACACTGGGCACAACAGAGCCTAATAAAGATAAACACATGGGCAAAACACATGGGTAAGCAGCTAAATCTTTAAGAGAAACTTGCAGTTTTATTAAGTCCGAAAGTTAAGTATATAAGCATGTATATGTAATTATAATTGCCATGGGGATTTTATGCTTTTACGAAATACAAGCATCTGTGACGTAGCGTAACCCTAATTTTCAAGCTAGCAAAACCTTTCCAGTTAGAAGTAACTTTTAAAAGTAACGTGTAAGCAAGCTGTGTGAAAATTGGGCTTGTTCGCCTCAATATGAACAGTGAAAGTAAGGTAACTTAATGTTTTTTTTTATGGATAGCCTCTGTAGTTTGGATGTTAAGTTATCCGTAAAGCGGTACGTTTCTATGAGTAAGATAAGTTACTAAAATTTCTACATAGTGTAATATAAAGTTTTGCTCCTAGTTAATGGAATAACAGGTGTAATATGATGTATCTTAACGTTCTCTCTCCACCTGTTTCTATTGAGTGTTATTTCGCAATAACGCACTCTTAACTGTTTGTGATGTCTTATTATTACTAATGATTATTTTATTGCCAGGCACTTGAGAGTGAGAGGTTGGAACATGACCAAAGGAGATGTGTATGTCTGGGTGAGTCACCAAGCTGTCGTCAGAAGGGCCCTGAACAAAGCTAATCTGCTCATACCTGTACCGTGAGCTCAAGGATCCCTCCCAGGTCAGCCGCACATGGAAAAGCATACACACAAACATGCTCCAAACTAGCCCTTTTTCTAAACCCGATGAAAAGTTTGCTTTATTTCGCACACAGAGTGCAGGGGTGTGTAACTTTAAAATGCTTTGCACCTTTGATTGACTTTGATGTGTTCAGTCGAAATTGGTGAAAACTGATGGCCGTGGCACAGTCTAACGGTGAAGCCTGTCAATCCTGGGACTCGTCTAAGAAAACAAAGTGAAGACCCAGCTCTGCGAGGAGGAAACCTCTGAGCTTCTCAAGAGGCTGCCACATTCTTGAGATTAGGACAAGAAAAACGCAGACCATTGCAGGTAATACCCTAGACAAAAGCATGGAACAATTTATTAGTTAAGAATTCAGTCTCAGTGCTATATCAAAGGCTGCATGTCCACAGTGTCAGACTCAGGGCTTTGGTTTGTTTTTATAAGTAAATAATCACGCTTAAAAGATTCGACAAAGATGGGGCTCAAGTCCCCCTATAAAGCCCTCATTCTTCCAACTGTCATCGCAGAGGTATCAGAGTACGCTTTAATTTTCAGCATGGGTACTGTTTGTCTTTTCCTTGTGAATACCATGTTAAAGAGCTTTTTATTTAACTTTCTTCCCCCTAGACTTCTTAACCCTATCTGTGGTATGTCTGAGTAGACAGCTTAACCTGATGGGTGAAGATCTTTGGTTGATGTTATCTGACAATTAAATATAATAATAATAATAATCATGAATTAACAACATACTAAATTTTTTTCCCCTGCAGCAACAGACTAGCCATATTAATACATTTTTCAAAGCCTTGAGACATGGCAAGTTATTTCATGGTCATAAACAGCTAGGTGACCATAAATCATCACAAGGATACAATGCACTGTTGTCAAATGTGTAATTGCTGTGAGATATAGACGAGAAAGGGCAGCCCATAATGGTTCATTATGTCAGCTGCTGAAATGACCAGGAGACTAATCACTTTGATAGGAGACAGTGGAGGGAGACACAAATCTAATTATTGCATGACCTGACCCATAATGCTTCCATAACATGACTCTAATCACTGCATTGTGGATAGGAGTCCCCTGTGGCTTCGGGAGAGAGGGGCAGGGCAGGTCTTGCTGTTATCTCCTGCGTCATTGCTGAGTAAGTATGCTCTATCAATACAAACGCATCAGTAGTGCTGTTTGGTTGTGTTTCAAAGAGATGGAGCTTCTAATGATTAGACATGTCTTTTGTAAATGAAATACAAATCACCCTAGGCTTTTGCTTTTACTTCATTTACTAAGTGCTACATTACCTCATACTTTGGACCTAACAATGGATTTCCAATAAATCTTATAGTAGTGGAAATGATGGAGGGCCTCACATATCACAAAATGTGCCAGTGCTTATTAGCACTTGAGAAGTTATTGATCGGCCATTTTGATTAACGATGGTGGTGGGCTTTGGTGGCATTCAAATGCCCACAGTGGCCCTGCTGGCAGCGCTTGGGCTCCTCTCAATTACCTTAGGCTTGTGCTGATGCCAGCCACACTGAAGCTTACCCTGTCTGGAGCTACACTCACTCACCTCTGTTTCCCTGTCCAGACTCCTGCTCAGTAGTAGAGTCAACATTTAGACGCAACACTGATATACTGTACTGTCAGGTCACAGGCACTGCCAATTATCCTACCATTTCCTGTAATTGCTGCATAACTGGCAATGTCTTATGTCACATAAAGAATTTATGCTAAAACAATATATGTATAATTATTGATAATAAAGGTTATTGACATAATGACAAAAGACCAAAAACAGTTCCAAACAAAGAAAAACACTGAAAACATAAAGATTAAGAAATTACATTGTCTATCAGCCTATTGACTGTGATTCAAATTTGAGAAATGTCAAGGAATATAATTTAATAAAAAAGATATTTTAATTTTATGTTGCAATGATTCTGATGTAATGTCACTGCATTACCAACAATTCCTGACCTGGCTCAAGTGGCCATCCTTCTCCATAATGGACAATAATTGAGCAAAATCCATCACTATGTCTAGAAATAGACCCCCATAATGGCCATAAATTGCATCTTGTGAAGGCATGAGCACAGAAAGCCCACTGCACCTGCTGCGCCTAAGAGCCACTGCAGTGGTGTGCCCCTTTAGCCTCTACAACTTCTGGATTACACAAAATGCACAGAGTTGTGTTACATCAGAGGATACATAAACCCATACTTTTTAAAGTTTACTCCTTATGTCCTGTAAATTAAATTGCAAAATTTTCCAATTTTCTTCACTGTATTATACATTTCAGATGAAAATACACACAGTGATTTACAGACACATTTATCAAGGTACTGAAAGAGGAGGTACACTAACAGTAATTAAATAATTTCATTTTTTTACAGGAGCACCTGAATTAAATGAACAGGGCTTGAGACTTTCTTCAAAACTCAGCAATAAATCAATGGCAGCAGCTATTTAATCTGATTGAACGCCGCGCAAAGAGCCTGAAGTTTGCCTCTGCTGTGGGGAATGTGTTTGTGGTGAGTCTCATAAATGCCAAGTTCTTTGGGCAATAAGAATAAATATCACAACCACTCTCTAGAATTACCACATAATTGGGGACTTTCCGTGTCTGCACAGGACCCCAGTCTCCTCCCTCTAACCTACATCCTCACCTTTACCACATACGAGTCCATTGAGGTGACAAAGGGAAAGAACAAGGCGGTAAAGGCCATATGTACCTCAACATGACACAAAGTAATCTGGTTACATATATTTTTCTGTGTGTAGTTTTCCCTTAACTATGCCTGTCCACATTGGAAATGACCAAGAGCATTACAGAGATATATAGAATACATAGTATGTGACACATTTTTATTCATTTGTTTACACACAACCTGTCACTGAGTATGTAATACAAAAT